TAAATTGCATGGCATAGGTGTTTAACTTGGCATCGTCGAAAATTCCTGAGCCAACGAGGAGGTAGGATCGTTATCGGTGTTCTGAGAGATGTATTGCTGATAAGTTTATGCTCACCGAATCACGCGAACCGCTGGGCTCACATCTGATCACTGTGACTAAGTTACACGAATAACTCCACACCTTCCCTCCGTCCAGGTCGATGAATGAACCATTGTATACACCTTTTGGTTGTTCAAAAATATTTATAAGATTTTTTTTGTTATTAGGACTAGATACACGGACGATCTACCATGAACTGTTGTGATTGGCCGAAGACTTCTGGTCGAAAAGGATGAGCCAGCCATGCCGCGCTGTATGTATGCTGGTTGTGAGAGGCAAAAAAACGCTAACACCAGATGATTCGTCCACCTTTCACAAGAGACTTTGTTATTTCAAATTAGCGATTTGCAGACGCCATCAAACAAACACGCTTCAATTTGAAGCAGTCATTATAACCCAGGAAATTAACTCAAAAATTGGCGTTACATCAAAAGGCTTCTTTATGGTTAGGCGATCATAGTGAGCAAGGAACAACTCATCAGAGGGCCTTTGAATGCACGCACACTTTTAGTGTGCTTTTGCCACAGGATATACGTGAAACTTAGTCAAATTTATGCAAATTAAAAGATTGGTGATAAGCATTCTGAATGGCACTGCCTTCAGCTTGGTTACCCAGTCGACTGTAGCAATCTCAGCAAACAGTGCAAATTAATATGCTTTTGAGTAAACAAAGTATAAGACCTGATGTGCAAAATGATCATTCGTACTCCTCACAATTACTGACTAAATTACAACTTCATCTTCATGTAGGTGTGTGTAGGATTAGCAAGGAGAGAAAAAAGCAAATAAGCATGATACGAGGCAGACCGATGTGAGCAGCAACAGCATTGGCAGAGTGCGTTTTGGTGGATGAAGAGTTTGTACAAAGCAGACACGTACGCACACACACCAGGGACGGTAATTTAGGTTCAAGCATCACTCTTTCACCACTTGAAGCTGTTCGTGTGTACACGTAGGCCCGTGGTAGAACTCAGCTGAAGTGACCACACCTGTAAACCAGGTCTGTGTGGAGGCATTGCAGGTGGCCTTGCCGGGATGTCCATTCACCACTGACAAGCTGTCGACATCACCCGGTGCCCATGAACTGATGTCTGAGTCTGGAAACTCCAGATCGGGCAGAAGACCTCCTGTATTGTGAAGTAGTTTAATTGGACGCTTGAGGGTGTCAAAGGCAAGGAAGGGCAAAAAGTCTTCCTCATGTGTAGTCTTGGCTGGATCCAATTCGATGTTCAGGTCGTCCTCGTCACTGAGATAGTAACCAGAGTAATCCTCATTGTTGGGAAACTCCCCATCACTGTGGAACTGAGCTGCAATCTCGGCATCCAGACGATCCAAGGAGCGGCAACGACGTTGCCTCATGGTAGCAGACGAGGTCGAACCACTGACATTAAGGGAAGGAGCAGAATCGACGCTGGACTTCGATTTACAGCGAGAGGGAGGAGCAAGGAAAGGGAGGCAGAGAAGCCCATAGGAATGACAGGAAACAAAACCCGATTCACCACTGCCACTGCTGCCAATACCTCCGATACCGCAGTTGTAGAGTGTCTGCTGACTGGACATCTTGGAGGCTGGATCAACGACATGCTGCAGAATGTCATTGTCATCCGACTTCCAGACGCACGTAGCGCGCCACTTCGCCCGAGAGCGTAGAGGAGCCCGAATCGCGTCAAAGTGCACCATTTCGTTGGGCTGAAATAACAAATCTGGAGGTAGATTATTCGCTCAAGACTAACAAGGGCTACATAAGCAGGGCCTAAACTTAAGTACAGCAAGACCAAATAACTTAACATTTCAAGTCATATTTTGCTCTGTAATAAATTGATGTCCAGGTGAAATTGTTGATCACCTTATCTCAGCCAATGCAAGCGTTGCCACTCCAGACTGAAGTGAATGTTTGAAGCCGTATTGACTTCTTGTAAGGCAATTACCAAAGTTTATGCGAATTATAATTTTAATAAAATAAACAAGTTAAAGGGCAGTCGAGCGGATTGGCTTTTCAACGGTACAAACTTGTTTGAGAGGTGTTAGTCCCGTGGATGTGTAACCTAGACGAAAAACTGTTTAGCATGTTTATTATTGTGATCGACAAAAATGAGACAAAAAGACATTTACAAGAGAGACTTGATGCTCAACGTTGGCAGAAGAGGAAATTAAGTCAGATTCGAAACGCCTACTGACTGATGGGAAGTCCGGATGGTGCAGATAAGATCTGAATGTTGAAGGTGGGAGGATCGATGAGAGAGGGGTTAAGAATAATATCAATTTTCGACAAATACCCAAATCCTACGGTTCGTATAGAAGCTATTAACAAAAGAAGCGGAACCAGCCGTAAACAACCTGGGAAGGTCTGTTGTGGAACTGTTTATTGTACCTGCCTAGGAATATCAATGAAGTGAGCCCGCGACATTGCCCTATTATCCTACTAGATGGATGGAAACCAGATGGATAGAGATGAACAGCTCTGAAGTATAAGCAAAACCCTGCCCAAGAGAACAATTCCAATTTCCTCCCTTGTTACTCTGCGCTTCGGACAGTGTCTTGATTGCAAGCAATTAGTGGGAGTAATAGCCATCTCCAAAATTACAGATGTAGTAAGGATCGGTAGCTATGCAATCAGATTTCCCCTTAGTTGCATGGAATTTTGATGGCCAGAGCGTCTGGTTGGTGAGTATTTGTCAAACACCCCCGACTGCATTGTGACAGCTAACGTTGAACGGACGTCCAAGAGGAGTTCCTAGGGCCACATCGAAAGGTGATACGTTGGGTTTTGTTAACGAAGACACTCAAGTATTCCTCCATTAGACCTATACCAGATGGATTGCTCTTTAGGTAACGCCAGTAGCCTAATCCCGTACTGATATCAATTACATACTATGTAGCCTTAGCGCGCTACAATATGATGCGCAATAACAAAATCAAATAAAATTGAAAGTCGTCGGAAACAATTCCACCTTTCAAAGGGTATCATTGTCTCCCTATACAAAGACATATGCGTTATAATTAAAGGAAATAGTGGTTGTTTCAACGCAGACTTCAAACGCCAATCAAAAGGTGCTGCTGTTCAATGAAACAGAAAAGAAAGGTAGAAATTAGAGAAAATAACCCTAAAGGTCAATGCAGTTTGAGAAGCCATCCCACATCTCCTTTGCGAAATACCCTAGAACAAACAACAGTGGTTCATAGGGACCAACGTTAATATCATCAAGAAAACACTGTTGATGTGCACTAAAGGAGCAACCACTGGTTTACTGTTAAAAATAGCAGAAAAATTGCATTCCACCAACCGATCGCACCCACTGATAAAGCAGCAGAATGCATCAGGAAACGCATGCCTGTAAGCCAGCATAGCGGGAGCATTTGCTGCCACGGAGTCGTGGATGACACACACTGCAAAGGTGATTCAGGAGGCACCACTGAATGCTAATTAGGCGAGCCAACGCAGAACAGATGCCAAAATATGGCAAATCAGCATTTGCGTACCACCCTACCGAACCTGGCTGCAAAGCAAAAACGGTGACGGTGGATGGGGAAAAAACTCCACTCTAGTAGCAAAAACGTCTGCTTTTACTGGATATGATGGAGGAACACTTTAGTGCGCAAAGTGGTTTTGTTCCTTCAGGGTATCGTCACTCGGCGCTGAGTGAATGAAGAGTTTGCGGGTTCGCAGAGGTGTAGCGACTATCCTCCCAATAGTTGAAAGTGAATTAAGTGGGAGGAGAGTTGTCAGAAAGCCAACCTGATTGGTAGACCCCTTAGTTAACGGCAGGAAGCACGAATGTTCATGCAAGCCAAGAATGTCATTGTAAGTCCAAGAGAGTTATCTCGTCTCGCGCGATAGGAGCACAAAGTCAGTGGTTGGAAGATAAGCAGCGAAAACGCAGATATCGCAATGCGGACGATTTTCTAAGTCACTTGGCATGTTTGAATTGAGCTGACAATCGCCATCCTGATCGAATGGTCACATCACCACACATTCTATCTACAATGAGGTTCAGTTTAAACGTGAAGTGGTCGTTAAAATCGTGGGAGCACTCTAAGCCGAGTACTCCAGCAAAGTGGAGAGA